AAAGCTATATCTTAAAAGCTATATCTTAAAAGCTATATCTTAAAAGCTATATCTTAAAAGCTATATCTTAAAAGCTAGCTAAATAATTAATGCCAGTAAAAATGTTCAGCTCCCCCAAAACCTTATAACAATCTAAAGTTTACCTTTAATACTCACTCGAACTTTAACCTATAATACCACCCTAACCCTAAATTTTACTAGCGAAACTATTAAAAAATATATGTGGTGTTTAACACCAGTGGTGTGATTTTAATGTTATTGTTTTTTATAACCGGTGAATTTTTTTAAGATAAAAAAAGTTACAGTTGTAATGGAATATGTGAAAAAAGCATGTGCAGAATATAAGAAGCACAATAAATTTGTTATTTTCTTTTTATACAAATTCCATATGGTCTGATATGATCTTCCTTTTCACAAACCCAATATTCGCCACCTCCAACAGGAAACCTCTTTAAACTAACAGGATTTACACGATTTTGAAATACTATCACGTATCTATGTCCTTGATACTCAAATGCCTGTGCATACTGTTCAGCTATGTGTATGTTAGGTGTTGAATAAATGCCATATCCATAAGCAAAACGTCTTCCCATGCTCAATAAATAACCATCCTCAGAAATTGATTTTGCATTATGCTTAGCTGTACCATGATATGACACTGCCCAGGATTCATTATTGTTACCAAGCCATTTATCGTCACCATTATCATATTTTCCGGCAACTCTCAAGGCTATACGTTTCCATCCATATGGTCGTTTATATTGCACATCGCCTCGCATAGATGTTACACCTGTATCATTAATATTTGTAAAATCACGATCATATTGTGGGTCCAAATCATTCAAATTCAAATAACAAACTACACCACCTTCTCCACTACAACCACGAAGAAATAAAACCAAAAGTAATGTATTTTCATTTTTAATTTCGTAATCGGTAAGTGTTTTACTATTCTCTAATTGTTTACCAGAAAAAATTAATCTTTGTTGATCTATTGGAATATTTAATTTATCTAAAATTTTTTGCTTTACAATATCAATAGTATCATCTTTTTTAAATTGTAAAACTATATGTTCATCATTAAGAGTTCTCACATTAATAGCAATATGATCATTATTTGAATTATTACCAACAAAATTGGTTTGATGAAATGTATTTAAATTAAGCGGTTTATAAGTAACCGAATCAGTATCACCACGAGCTTGTCTTTCACGAAGTTCTTGTTCTGATATATACTTGTTATTTCCCATTACAGCTGTAAAAGCTGCATTAATAAGATCTATATTATTAGTGTTTGACATGGTAACGAATTTACTGATCTTTAGGATAGATGAGTATTTGCTTTTGAATACAGTCGATATTTGACGAATTTATTATAATTTAAGGAGCAATGGCGTTTGATTTCGACAAAAGCAGAAACAATGGATTTCTTTTTTTTTTTTTTTTAGCAGGATCTACATAGCACTATCGTGGGTTATAACTATTTGCATACTGTAGTAGATTTGAATAAATACTATTAATATAATACCGGCTTAAAAATGTAAAGCCCTATAACAAATTATAAATTTTCTAGAAATTGTTGCAATGTAGTTTTTGTAAAAGTAAGGTATAATTTTGGTTCTTTTTACTAATTGGCTTAATAAATTGTTGAATTCAAGGATTAAGAGACTACGCAAGGTAATTTTTATAATTTATGCCAAGCCCGCATAATTCTAGTCATTTAGCATAATGCCAACAAATAAATAAATTTGTAAATTATAATAAATACAATTCTTATCTGTATATTTCGGATGCAATTATCTTAAAATACTCCGATCACTATATCAGGATAGCGAGATATTTAATAATCTGTACGTATGTGTACAAGCGGAACGAAATTTCCGCGAATACCCAACGATTCGGAATATTTTTATTACAAGTACGCCAATGTTGACCAGAAAATTCCGAATAAATAAATTGATTTGCCTATCGCTAGTTGAATCTACATGATTAAAAAGTTACTTACAGTAAACAGTGACGACTTTTTTTTTTCTTATTCTTATTAAGATATAAAATTCTTTTGTTATATTCTTTATTAAATAAAAAAATGAACTTTCAACATAGTGAATTACAGTTATTTTTTTTATTTTGATTAACGTGATTTTGTTTATGTTTATATAACACAATTTATGTTTATTATTTATGATATAACAATTTATAATCTCACAAGTTTTGTGCATGATTTTCGGATTTTTCCGCTTTTGTTTTATCGGATTAATTTTATTTGTCACTCCCGTAATTTTGTGTCTCTTCTTGAGTAGCTACAATATTGTCTATCACTATTTAAACGAAAAAGTAAATTTCTTTATAATATCAAGTGATCTTACAGTATCATACAAGCCCGCTGATAATTAACAAATTAGGGAATGTAAAGTATACATATGGGTTTAACAAATAATATTTATACTGTAGTTATCGATTTGTATTTACAAGGAACCTTTTTACATACAAACGATGGATTTTTATTAAGAATTACAATATAAATAACGTATCACTAAAACTCCAAAAGAGCTAGGGATGTATCGTTTTTATATAACTTTTCTTTTATTTGTTGGTTGGGCCTCTCCTTCCTTGGGAGGTTATTAACCCTTCGTGTTGGTTAATACGTAGCCAATTTCATAAATTAAAAATACAAAAAAGGAAAATTTACTATATCGACCATAACGACGTACGTAACATGCGTAACTGGTAATGTATTAATACGTTACACTCTAATATGGTACAGAACAATCCAGAATTTTTATCAAGTTTGAGCAAAAAAAGTATTTGAATTAAAGTTGGAATCCCAAATATCATTATGCGATACACTAATGATATTAGTCGATAAAATTTGTAGTAAAGTCTTTTTTATATTATAAGCGTGTTGCCATATTTTTCAAACTAGATTTTGTTATCCAAATACACTATATAATAAAATATCCTGAACCTAGGTATTAACAAAAACTTCTTTTTTCTCTTGTACACGTACGAATCAGCGTATTATTTATAACTCACGTGATATTTATATAATGATGGGCCTGCCGCAGCAAGCCAATTACGTATAAGCGAAAAATAATAGAATCATGTGCCTCAGTCTCTGGAAAGGGTTGAGCGGGTCACGAGGAATTTGGTTCAGAACTGTTCGTCGTCCTTCTGCTTTAACATTTATTCATTCCCATTGCAGTCAGTACCAGGTCATTTACATCTGGCACGCGTCAATGTCATGAGTTATCTGTGGGTTGACTTTCACATGTCTTAACATGGCAGTGAATAGGTCGAGTGGCTGCTTCTCTTTTCGATAAAATGATACAGTATGCATCACTTTTGTTTAAATGAAAGATAAGCCATTCAAGTTATAAATTGATAACATAAAATTGAAATCATTGTAATTGTTTATTTACATATTTAAAACTAATCCTACACTCATTTTCAATATGCTCATCCTATGAATATATTTCAGTAGTCATTGCTACTAGTGCAAGTAAGAATAGTTGAAATTTTGAAAATCATGTAGGTATATTGAATGCTACAATAAATTATAAAGACTATAAATTTAAAGGTATAATTTAAAAATTCAAAAGTACAAAACAGTGTACAACTTAAAAATTGATAAATAAAAAAATATATAATATTCAAAAATTGGTATATTAATACCGGTGGTAAATCAAGTTCCATTATTATATGTTTGATCGAAAAAAAAAGATATTTATTATGCTTGACTCAAAAAAAAAAGACGAAAAAAAAAGAAATTATTCAACCTTTGTAAAATTCAAATAGCTTGGCTAAAATAATAAAGATGTATTAGATTAAGATTCTTTGATTATAAAATTGTTATGATATTTCTGATTTTAAAAACTAAATAACCACTCACTAATAATGCTTATGAATTGCAAGTTGGCTTCTGATTTTAAAATGTATGACTTTAAAATCTTGCAACTAATCATATGACTTGTATGGGTCTATATATCGGTTAGATTTGTTACTATTTATTTCTAATTTTAAAAAATGTTGGATTCTAAATACTAACATACTTGTAAATTTATGTGTGCATATATGAAACGTTTGTTTGTTTTTTTTTAAAAAACAGGAATTATAGTTTGAAAATAACTACAGCTCTAAACACTCATTTTCTACGCTTTTAATGATATACGTCTAAATTTTTAAAATTATATATATTAGGATATATAACACATTTATATATAATTTTTAAAGTTAGGCAAGGATTTTGATGTGTATGATAGACACATCTTTGGATTTTATTCCTATTTAAATAAAATAATCTACAGTATAAAATTTTTTTTTTGTTCCGATTTATATTTCTTAATTTATGAATGTTTTAAACTTGAAAATGGTTTACTATCAAGATATGCATGCGCTAGTTTGGAAGTAGCCCACAAAAAATAGGCATTAATCATAACTAGCCATATATCGGTTTGAATTAAGTAACATTATAGGCAATCACCTTTTAATATTATGTAATTATCATCAATGATCGTAAAATTCATATGCATATGCCTAATAAAACTATATCATGTAATAAAAAATGTCAGCTGAGCCCTCTTTACTTCCTTTTAAATTAAAATCTTACGATATACCTGATACTGGATAACTCAGCATCTGGAGATATGTACTGCTTTTCATTGCGGATGTTAATCCAATTTAGCTCCGATGGTTCACTTAATTCTGGATTTATAACACTTGTACACGTGATATGATGTCACGAAAAACACTTAAGCAGCATAGAGGGCATTCGTTCTGATTGGCCAATTTTCGTAGATCATTTCATACCGTGACGTTGGAATTCATCCAATCAGGATCAAGAACTT